AAAACAAGCTCACTGTATTAGCTTCTAAATTATGGTTACACTAAAATTTGTAAAAGCACCAACACCACTAATAAATACACTGGTAAAAGACCATTTCTGAAATAATACTTGCTAAGTTAAAAATAAAATTAGGTTTATATATGAACAGCAATTCAGAAACTACTCCATGCAGGATAACATCCACAAGATATATTTGGTTTGTATGGTAGACTGAACGCTTTTCCATGCCCATAGCCAAGAACACATTTTGAAATTTCACAAATTGCAGTGAAAATCAGTTGCCTTTACATGGCACTCAGAAGTGTGAACTAGCCATTATCTTAGTACAAGGAAAGAAACCTCAAGTTAAAACACGGGGATACATGGAAATTTCAGGAGTGAAGGGACTTCAAGAGCAGAAATTATTGCATGGCATTTCTTGCAAGGAACAACATAAGTTACCCGATTTTTTTCTTTGGTTTTGTACATTGGGAGGAAGAGAGAGTAAAGGAGAGGCCAGCAGTCCTCTAGATGTGTAAACAGACGTCCATATAATTACAAACCATAGAATATTAAACTGATTTCATCATCGATGTCATGGATAACCAACGTTATTATGTGAGGTGATTGGACCAAGTGCTTTTGATCAAAGAATGCTCGCCCTTGAGCAACATTCATAACAGTCGACTCTTTCAAAAAGGTTATAAAGGCAAATGAAATTGCTACTATGAAGGTAAACTGACAAACTGACATCGGTTTTCAAAAAATATGTTTGCAAATTGCACCTGTATCTAAAAACTGATGAAAACTCAACCAACAGACTTTATATATTTGATGAAAAAAAAAATAGCTTTCCAAATGTAAAAACTTACAAATCCTCCATAAACATAGCCCACAGCAATTCCAGTTGGTATACACATGTAAAACATTGCAAGCCATGCTGTTTTCTGGACCCAAAATTAACAAATATTCAGCATAATTATGAAAATAATCGAGAAGATATATTAAGTTTTGCCTTCCTGGGAAACATTAAATTTTCTGATCATAAAAAATAATAGAGAGGGGATAAACAGGAGGGAAGCCAAACCTGGGGTGCAGGAGCATGGTCATCAATGAACGGCGCTGCAAGACTTATGAAAGATGCCTCACCAACTCCAACCAGCCTAGAATGGTAAAGCCCAATTATTAACTCACAATCGAGTACAGAAGATGATAATAGTGAAGACAACAGAACGAAGACAAAATTCTAAAAGTGGAGAATACCAGAAAGATTGTTACACTCACATACGACATATTGCAATGGTCCAAAAATCAATTGAACTACCACACCCAGCTGTGGCAAATGTCCAAACAGATAATCCAACTCCAATCAGCCTAAAAGGATTGTGGCTGCAAAAGCAACAATGCATATGAACTTATAAATCAAATCGGGCAGAGATTATCACAATTGAAGTGATGACCAAGTTGGTAACTCATGCATTACTGCAAGTGTTCACCTCTTTGCCAAGGACGCAAAGATGGGTGACGCCATAAGAAGACCAACCATAAATGCAGATGAAAGAACACCATCTTGAAAATTGCTCAATTTAAAATCTCCCCTGTAAGAAAATACTATCGTAAGCCAAATACAGCCGATAAATGTGAGGAATTGTGACTGTCTGTCAATTACAGCCAATAAATGTGAAAGCATATGCAATTAGATAACTACCAGCATGAACCCTAAAAAATTCATGGGTCTTAAACACCGATCATAAATGAATTTAGCTTCTTGATAAATAAATACTATATAATTGCATATCACACACCATAGGCACCAGATACACGGTAGCATGCAAGATCAATATTAAACCAATTAAGGCCCCAAAACTCATAAAACAATCATTAAAATTCTTACTGAATTCCGCTACCCGCGCTGCAAATTCCGCTATCATCACAAATCCCAATACTACCATTGACACCATTGCTCGCTATTGCTCCTCGATCGACATAATTTATCATGTTAATTGTACAGAGCATTACGAGCAACCTGTAAAGAAAATATTCAATCACATTTCACGAGCAACATGTTGTTACATTTAAATTCAGCATGAAATTTCAAAACTTTACTAGCTGAATTGCATTTTTTAGGCCCAAGTGCCTACCCAGATCAACAAAATGAAGAAAACCCAAGAAATTTGAATTGAAATTGCCTTTTGAGGGAAATTGAGCTGGAAAGTTTTTACCTTTTGGGGGAGAACCATGATGGGTTTGGAGCTGAGACTGAGATTGGGCTCGTCGTCATCTGTGGGTTGAAGGGGTTGGACGATTGGGTTGGCTTTGCAGGTGGTTGGTGTTGTTGTTGTTGTTGTTGTTGTTGTTCTGATTGCGCCATGCTGACATGAAATATCTCATCAGAGAGGAGAAGGACAGAGAGAGAGCTTACTTGTTCTTGATTGTTACGCAAGCAAAAGACCAGACCCTCTGCCTCTGTCTGGCCCCTCTCTCTGCCCGTCTCTTCTCTCTGAAGGAGGATTTTCCTTTTTCCTTTGCGTTTTACTCTTTTGCTTTTACCATTTATTTTTGGCTTAAATGTCAAAATGGTCCATGCGTTTTACCCATTCGGCTAATTTAGTCACTGTTTTTTTCAATTTGGTTAATTTAGTAATTATAAAGGAAAGTACTATGATTTTATTTTCAATATTTTTTTCTATCATAAATTTTTATTCGGACTTTTACACTAAGACCTCTTGTGGTACGATTCCTGGCTCCGCCACTGGTGAGCATAAAGGTATTTTAACACAAACCAAAACCCTCTAGACTCTATTTCTTGGCACCAGTGACAACTGCCGTAGTCTGGGTTCATGAAGATGGCAAGAAGACGGATCAAATCTGATAAAGGCTCAATCAACCCAGGTGAGTATTTTGGAGTTTGGACCCTCTGCTTGTTTTGCTTTAGTGTAAAGTTCGTTTCAGCGACTCGTTGTTGGTACACATGTCTTGCTTGTTAACTATTATTTCGCTTTCTGGGTTACTTGTTTCAATGCTTGTTTGTTTTGCTGCTTTACTTTAATGGAAATCTCTTTAACCAAAGAAAAAAGGACAAAGCATGTACCTTCTAGCGATAAAAGTAATGGACACTCCCTTTCACATGCTTTGCCTTCAAGAATTTCTCTACATATACCACGGGTAGAGTTTAATGTTCAAATATTAATAGCATATAATGTGGATGAATTTGATTCACCACGTCATCATCTCACGAGATGCGTTAGATGCACACAACAATTTCTCTACATATACCACTTTCTTCGTTTTTCTTTTATATATTTCTAAGTTATAATATTAATTCTCATTTTACTTTCTAAAGTTCATTGAAATTTTTTTCGTCTCAGTTACCTACCGTTAGTCTTTGCATTAACAAGTACTTGGTTCCACTGACTCGAAAAGAACCGACTTAAAATTTCCCAAAAATAAACAACACTTGAAAGTTTTCAACCCAAAAAAAAATGGAAATCTAGACTCGCCCAAACAGCTATCGACAGATGCAGTGGTACCAATTCCCACTAACTAATTTAGTAAACAGTAACAAAAAGAAAACTAATTTATTAAACTGCACTAGAGGTTATAGAGATGTAAAACAAGCCCCTTTCAACTTATTCTGTGCTAAAATTAGCTTATTACACAAAAAATGTGGTGGCTTCTTTTAACTCTTATAACAGAGCATTTCACCCCACACTAATGACAAGGTTGGCCTAACGGATCTATTGTTAGATCCATGTAGTCTTAGTAAATCAATAGATACAGAAACTGAACTTTTGCAAATACCTATTCGGTTTAGAAACTGTACATCTCTACAACCTACATACAGCAATACGCATGTGCTGTATACACATATTTACATGCACTTTTACAAAAGCTTCACAAATTATTTATGGCTGTATAAGCAGAAGCATGGATGTCACAGCACTCAGCATCCCATGAGAAGTCCATTTCCATGGCATCCATTATCTTTCTCTTCCACTTCAACGGGTTGTTTCTCTTCACATAGACAGGAGAACAGATTTAAAGAACATTAGCACCTTTTTAGTAATTTCCTATAAGTGGAGAAGAGAATCTGAAAATTTAATGAGCTTGTAAAGAATTACATACAATTTCATCCAGGGCTTGGCTTATAGACATATTTCCAAAAGTAGAGCTAATAAAACGTGAGAAGTTAGTGGTCTCATAGTCGTGTTCCACAAAGTTCCTGTTAGAAGAAATCGCCAACAGAGACATATATAAATATACTTTAATTGAAAGAATGGTACAAGCAAAAGCATATCCAATGATAGTTCTCATGTGGAAGAAGAAACATTACCTGAACCCATCATCATTGGAGTTTACTGCAATTGGAGCGGCCCCATACTTTAAAGCCTTTAGCTACATAAATGAGTACATGGACATCAGACAAAGAAAACTACTTCCTTGTACCACTTCCCAGGAAAATGATAAAGAATTACAATTAAAAGTAAAAAGAAAACAAGCAGGGAAACAAAACAAAAAGAGAGAACTAACTGGAACTTGGAGGACAGGATCATGAAAAGATTGGCATAAGATAATATCAGATCCAGCGAATATCAAATGTGATTGCTTTTCATCATGTCCATCTATGAATCGAACATTTTTATCCTGCACCCATACGGTAACACAAAACATATATGATAAGTTGCATAGGTTGAGGTAATGTGAGAATGATGATAAATAAAAAAATTTGTTCTCTCACTTTTTTTTCCCTTACGAATTGCATTTTGTTTTGCCAGAGATATTTTTTAAGAAAGATTCCCCATTGGATAAATAACGACCTAAAGGGTTATACTTACAAAAATTATATTAAAAAAAAGGAGCCTCATACTTATATAACTATGGATTGCATTTGGCTTGAACATAATGGGGTCTGCTGAAACTTGTCTTAAGACGGAAAAGATCAAAACAAAAAAGCAAGATTCTATAATGCTTTGCCACAAATGTGACTACTAACACAATGTCAAGGAACTCAATTAACAAGAGGCTAAGCAATCTGTACCTTCAGTGGTTCATGCACCAATCCCAGCTTGTTTACAATTGATATTTTGCTAATCCCTTTAATGATGAACTGTAGGAAGACACTTAACAATCACGTCCAGGAGATATAATCAGGAAGAACAAGAAACTTACAGAGCAGATGCTATAGAGCCCTCACAACCAAGCACATTAACCATTACTTCTTTTCCAATTCATTTTGAAATTACCCTTGGCATATCCACTGGTAAGGGCATTTAGCAAGTCCCAGCCACTGAGCCATACATTTTTCTGATGAGAAAAGTAAAAAAGGGGGGAAGTAACTACCTGCACATCAATCCTCCTAGCTTTCAGAAATACTGCCCTCAGGTTCTCCAGATCAACATCTGATACTTCAGAAAAGATGCATCCGACCTGATAAACATTTTTCATAATTTGTTGACTCTCCATTAAAAATCAGGAAGCAAGTGTAAAACCATGCATAGCAATTAAGTAAAAGAAAGATAAAACGAAAATAAAGTTTAGTTATTAAGAAGACAAGGCTTCCCAGAAAAAGAAGTCCCAGACCCTAGATTAATTTCGAAAATTAAGGTTAACTCGTAAGTCGTAACCAAAATTTGGAAATACAAGAAGGGGTTACAAATCAAATATGATGCGATTGGAACTCTGAAGACATCCAATTTCTCAAATAAGTTACTCCTCCCCAAATAAATAGATTCACAAGACATCCAATACTACCGGACATGACTTTTCCAAATCCAAATATTATATAATCTTCATAACAATTAACAATCAACATAAAAGAACACAAGATGAAAAAGGGCATAGATCTTATCTATGAATTCCAGTTTTGTCATTGTTTTCACCCACATAACAACTTGGTTACCTAAGCAACGAAACATCGTGTAACACACCAAGTGCAAGTTACCAAAAACCTAAGTGTTCAGTGCTCATAAACCCAGGTGCGCACATACAAGAATAGGAGAAGCATGCTCAGATAACCCAAGGTGCTGCTGCAATGCAGCTTTGCAGACTGCTTTCCCTTTCATATCCTTCACACTATACTGTTGGGGAAGAAAGTTGTCTGTAGACGGATCCCAAGTGGAGTTGTCAAATCCACAAGGAGCAATAACCACTTTGTTTCTGCAAGCAAATTAAAAACAGAAGGTAAAAATGCTTTCAGCACAAGAAACCCAAAAAGAAAAATCTGCAAGAATGTTTGATTGATCTACTTACTTGTGAATGTTTAAGGTATGATCCAACCCATGACTCAGACTATGAATAACCCTGCCTTTTGAACGTATGGATGACATAATGACAACTTTATTCGAGTAAACAACTCCACCCTGCAAATTTATAGAAAATAAAGCTTTGAGGTATGGTGGACATGTAAAGGAAACTAGAGCTTCCAATAAGGGACTTCGAAGTGCAGGTAATAATATTGAATAACAAATGAACAGGGTTGCGAAACCAGGACATCATGTCAATCTTTTTCTTTTTTTTGGGTTTCTCCACGCTTCTATGGAAGCAGAAATTTCTGGGAATACAATGCAAAAGCAAAACACAAAAGAATTATAGCTCGTGGGTTGTGAGCTGTTCAACAATAATAAGAACTTATTAACTTAGACTTTATTCACAATTGTACAAAATAAATCACATCATAACCAAGGAAATATCCATCCAGTTGTCTGTTAAACAATAGATCATTCATAATGTCACTAGATCAAAGCTGGTAATACATTCTTATTTCAAGTCAAATTTGGGAAGGGAAACAATTCTCAATCCCATATTGTTGCATTGTCAAAATTGGAAAAAAAAAAAAAAAAAAAAGGCAGAAAGTGTATCTCACACATTCCATTTAAGGAAAAGTAGTGCCTTTAGTTTCACAAGACTATAGATGCTGCAACTGAAAAATATCTATCCAACTGTATATATCATGCCTCAGTTCCATTGTGTCTAGGCCTGTCATATCACAAAACATTATCAAGAGAAGAGAGAATTGGCTATGGTATATACCTTCAAAACATTAACCAGATGTGCCTTGGTAGTATCTTGCAAACGATCAGGACGGTGAAGTCTAGCAGGATCAAGTCCACATAACGCTAGTTTCTCCGGATGCTCAAGACACTGAAGTATTGAAACACAGAGCTTAATAAATTGGATCCATGGGAGTAAGTAAAGTAAGAAAGGAAAACATACAGCTACTTGCCTGTGAATTGAGGTCGTGGCATGTCAATAGAACTCTTGTACCTTCAAGTCCCTATATACATGAGCAAAAACAATCACACAGTGGAAATGGTTTCAAACCAAAAATAAATAAATAAATGTTCTTCTCTTCCCTGCAAGAACCAGAAGTGGGTGAGAAATAAAAAGAGATGCAATATGTGTTAAACATATTGCCTGTCCCATGTGATGGAAAACTAAAGTAGCCGGTGCCATCAGTGGTGTGATGGAAATGTATGGTATTTAGCTCGGGTCTTCCATGTTGTCCAAATAAAGTCTTGCCTTTCTACATCCTTTACTAATTTCTTTAAGCAAGGTGCCAGTTGTTCAATACAGAACAGATATGTTACTATGTAAGCAAGCTGTTAGATTCATACCATCTTTCCAACCACAACATGTTTTCCAAAATTCACTCTCAGAGACTTTGGCCACGATTTATATCCATAGAGTTAAGATGCTTCCTTGTCCGATAATTATTAAGTAGCTGAACTAAGTCACTAGTTAAGTACAAGCATCTCAACCCTTGAATTAAATATGGACGGCTGAGATACATGATGGGTTGTGTGCACTTAGCTACTTATTAGATCACTGCTATACAGACAAACAAACATTGTAAAATTTGTATATACATATATTATTCCAAGTTGCATTAATGCTCATCAAAATAAGTTAATTACTCATAACTTTATTATGTGAAATGAAACAGAAAGGTCAATACTGAAGGGTTTGGTAGTAAAACAGAACTACTGCATGCCAATTTAAAAATATTTAGAAAAGGCAGCTCCAAAGCTGTACCTGTTTAACAATAATATCCCAGAAAAGTGGCCCAATAATAGCAGTCTCCCAGTTGTGGATATGTATCACATCAGGTTGCTTTCCAGATTTTACAATATAATCCAATGACGCACGGGAGAAATAGGTAAACCTGAATGCATCAAATATACCATCATAGAAGAATTGGTGACGGCAAAGTTAGATACTATATTAGAATTAATGTCCTAACTTTATAGATGCAGTTAAAAAATTTAGACTTTCACTTGTATAAAGAGAGTAACGTACCCATGTGAATTTAAGTTCTTTGACGGTTCAAAAAGGCCATAGTTACAGTACTCAATTTTAGTTTTATATGAGCATTTCAGTTCAAAATAACCCACTTTAAGTTCGGATATCTTTATTACTTGAAGTTTAAGAAAAGGCTGGTCTTATGAATCTGTTCTTTAAATAAAGTTTCCTCCTCTAAGAATCTCTCCACATAAGGAAATTGTTAATCTGACCTCTGTGGTTCATACTTCAAGCTAAGTTTCATACTCAAATTTTGAACTTTTAAAAACCAGAAGGCATGCATGACATCAAAAGACAACCCAAAGATAAACCACAGCGGTAAAGAATATGAGTGAAAAAATTCTACTGACCTTTCAAAGTCATCTGAATAGCCATATACCCTCTCACGGTTGAAAAAGGATGAGTAGTATAGTGGTTGAATTAAAGTAACTCCAATACCATAGACAACACTGTATAATGAGTAGATAAAGTAAGAAAAATACAGAATTCAACAAATAGACTATAACAACGCAGATCCTTATGCAATAAAAGAGCTAATCAGAAGTTAACAATTGAGTTCATTGGATCTACATACACGCGCACACAGATATTCAAGACCTGTGCACAGTCGCAGTCAATCAATGTAGGACTCGTATATCATAATTATCCACCTTTTATCCTACCATCCTCACCAAGCGAGGGTTCAATCACAAAATCAAAAACTTAGCCATGATAGGCTCATGATCAGCCCTACCATTGCCAGTCCATGGGAAGTATTAATGAGCCTGGTCAGCTCTGACATCATATGTTAGAACTCAATTCATAAGCCAAACAGGTTAGCCAAATGTTGACAGTTGTATTCCTTGAACCCAAGAGCTTCTCAATGCAAGATGTGGGACTTATCACATAGGCACCGAGCAAAATGTAGTTTCCAGATCATTTCTTAATTGCCAAAATGGATTTGCAAAAGCAAACATAAATGTAGCATACAAAGAAACAACTCAAGCTTACCCAGTCCAAATTCTGTTGCCATGCAACTGACCATTAAAATATGAATAACACTCTGCCTCAATTTCCTGTAGCCCTTGAACTTCATCTAAATCCAAGCTTGAATACCTAATTACAAGGTAAATTCATCAAGGAGATAGAAATTTTCAAGTTTTCCAGAAATGTTTGATTAAAAAGATTATAGGAACTCATATACAAAATAAAGTCCTTCCTATCATATAATGATGCTCTCTTGTGTACCAAAAGACATTCTTCAAATTTTCTTTCATAGAAACCAGACATTTTGATCCTTCTTTCTTTGCTCAACAAGTAAAGTGATAAAAAAGAAAAAAAGTCCTGCACCATCAAAAGTCCTAAAAAGTCTGTATGATTGCAGAATATGAAAATGTAATTTCAAGGAAAAAAAAAATTCACATTTGTCATATTCTGCAATTCTACAAACTACCTATTTCCATGACCTCACAATCTAATGAAATGTGCGACAAGTATAGAGTGTCAGATCCCATCAGAAACAGACCTAAGTGAACATACAGGGTGTAACTATCTCTTCCATCAGCATTACTATATCTCACCCGGCTTCCTCTGTCTCCTTAGGTCATAAGAAATGCAGTAGGTAATGAAGCTAGGCAAGAGCTGCCTAGGAGGTTTCCTGGGCTACACTAGAAATGTTATAGTCGTAGTGTTAATCTTCTCTTCTAGTTATCATCTTATGATCATCCACCTATACTCATTGGAGCATTATTTGTCCTAGCGTTCTCTAAAATATAAAATGCTATTTAGATCTCTCATCAATCAAATCCATTGGTAAGCACTCTGAGCAAAATAAATAAATAAAATTACAAAGGAGGTCCCATAATTACTTTGGAAGTATCACCTCCACCAAATGCCCCTTCCTTTGTAGTGCACAAGACAAACCTGTCACATATGAAGCCAAAGATCCAACAGAGACCAGTGGTGCCATTTCCGTGCATACATGTACAATGTGAAATCCATTCCTGAATTTTGAAAAAAAGAATAAATACAAAATAACATCCTTGTTGGAAACTTGGAAAAGGTAAAGGAGCGCCAAAAAAGAACAAAGAGAAATACAACAAAAGCATGGATGTAATAATTACAAAGGTGGTACAATTCATGATTTTAGAAAAGATACACAACTGAGCATTTCCCAATTAATCCCGAAAACCCCGATCAGGAAGTGATAAAGAAAAGCATAACATAACATGATTCAGTAAATCCATACTTTTACACAATAACATAGTTTGTTACATTATTTTACAAGTGTTCCAAATAAAAAGAAAAGTCGTTTGTCAAATCTGGTTACCACTTTTACCTTGGGTTTCTCTCAGAGAAATGACGGAGTTCTGCTAAAATCTCAGCATCACTCTTCTGCAGGGTGTCGTTAAATACTTCAGCTACGCTAACTTTGTGATCCATGACCAGCCTTCTCAAATTAGATGCCTCTGCAGTGGTAACCATTCCCATGAGGACCATTGAGTCTATCCGAAGGAGTATCTCCCAAAACATTGATAGCCTATCTGGTTTACAGGACATCAATAAAAAGACATTATTAAACTTTAACCTTCATGAACTCTAGACTTGTTTCTTCTGCAAAGAATATGATCATAGAACATTGTCCTTCTATCTTTCCTACTCAAGTAAAAATACGAAGATATCATTGCAAAATGGTACATAAGCCTGCCCAAATTACACTTTTGGTTTCTGTAGTTTATGCTCAATCGCACATTGATTCTTATAATTCCAGTTTCAATAAATGTACATTTATAGTTTTTTAATTTTTTAAATGCGTTCCAACTTTACATTCTGTCAAATTGGTTAATGAAGATTTTCAAAAAAAAAAAAAGAAAATGTACCTTCAGCATGACCCAACTTCACATTTTAGCCAATTTGAATTTTCTGCCTTGATAAATCAGAACAAAAATTCAGATCTTCCATCAACCAATATGACAGAAACGTAAATTTAGAACATAATGCGAAGGTTACCAAATTAAGAAGGCAAATTCGTTAAAATTACAACTACAGGTACTAAAGTGAAATCAGGCCTACGATAGGAACCAAAAGTATAATTTTGGGCCTTCCAAATAAGAAAGAGGTATAAATCAAGTGAGTAAGGGCTGAAGGTACCTTGAGGTTTTGCAACAGCAGTCTGCTTTTCCAGCTCCAATTGCTCTATCCTATCAACCAACAGTTGTTTCTCTATGTTGATTTTGTTAAGATCTTCTACCGCCTTAAGACGATGTTGGTTCAAGTGTAGAATATCTGGATGTCATTTTCAAAGAATGAAAGAAAAAACCCAAAACTATATTAGAAATTTAGAAATGAAAACACATAAAAAGGCACAAATTAGATGAATTGCATTGAGGACTTTGGACTTACTCTTCTGAGCTTCTCTGAAGAGTCGCCAAATTTCGGACTGTTTCGGTTCCTCAGCATTGGATGACTTGCACTTTGCGTAATGCAGACAACAAAATCATCAGCAGCACAAAAACTAAGGACTTTAAACACAACCATTGAAAAGACTAATTCGTAGTACCTACCTCCTGAGGCTGGGAGCTTTGTAAGCTGAAATTGATGTAGTTTAGAGTCAATTAGATCAAAGTGATTGAGACAAATGAAGTATAAAAATCAAACTCACAAAAAATTAAAAAGCTCACTTCACTTCTGAGGAAGAGGATGAGGACCCATTAATGGTGGAGCAGCAAACAACTGGAATCCGAGGTTTTGGGTGGGGTGGTTGCCAAGGGACGATCACACTACTCATCAGCGCCTTCATTCTTCTAACCTCTTTGAGCGTTTGTTTTGAGAATTTGAGGAAAGAGAACTTTTTGTAATGTAGTAATTTTGACTTAATTAGCTTTGAAATTGAGAAGAAAATATATTTAAGTATTGCTTACCGCTTTCTCAACCAAACTGTCTAACTGTACGCTTCTTTTATATTTTTAGCTTTCTTCTTATTTTTTATTTATTAATGAGATTTTTTATTTAAACCCCGTACTTTTCTTTGTTCACCCCAATATTTAAATCATTAAGCTGTAAATTTTATTATTGTATAAAAATACCAAAAAGAGTCATCCAACTTAATACTTAACCCTAGTATTAACACACCCCACACACCCTACCACTCTTCATATTAAGTTTTAGAAAAATACAAACTCCTCACCACTCTTGATATCCTTGAGATCCGATGCATTGAAGCATTGTGTGTAGAAGATTCTTTCCAAGTTTTGAGGAGAAAGATCAGTTGTGACAAAATCTCATGTATACTACGAATACTTTTGCTTCAAACTGATGCCTAGCACAAGAAGAAAATCTCATGTATTTTTGCTTCAAACCATCCTTAAACTGATGCGTAACACATACTTTTGCTTCAAACTTTCACCCCAAACAAAATCACATGTATACTACAAATATTGTTTAATGATTTAAATATTGGGGTGAACAAAGAAAATTGTGGGGTTTAAATAGAAAATCTCTTTTATTTCTTATTTTTTCAGCTTAGGGTGTATTTAAAGGTAGTTTGGGAAGATAGTGGGGTTTTCTTAGAAATTGTGAAAATTTAAATTAAAAGTTGGGGTGAACTTAGAACATGGGGTGAACTAAGAGAAGTGTGGGGTTTAAATAGAAAATCAAACAAGCTTTTATTTTGCATTCTTTATTCTTTGTTTCTTTTCAGTTTGTTTCAATTTATTTGCATATCATTTTGATTTTGGCAATTTTAGTCATATACATTAATTTGGCTTGCAATATGTTTATGCCATATTTGACCGGAACAGTTCGGCAATGTGCAAGTCTAAGAACACTTCCACCCATTCTCTTTTGCCAGAAGGGGGCCTAGGCTCCAAAAATAACCCCCACAAAGGAAAAGTTGTCATGATAAGAAGTGGGCCCATGAAACTGGGCAAGCTAACGTCAGCGGCCAATTTAAATACCAAATTTTTATAAAAAAATTACTAAAAAATTCAGATTTTTTTTTCTATAAATACCTAGCCATGTTCTTTACTTTCCACACTAAAATCCATTCAAATTCCGCTCCTCATATCTCATATAAATAGTGGTTGCCCTTGGATTACCATGGCAATGGGTGGGAATGCATCAAAAAATTGCTAGGACAATCACTATTCAAGTTAATAGAGTTTGCCCTTACTTACCCATTACCATGGCACAATGGGGTGGAGTGCTCCGGATACATGCCACCAATCCCATGTCGACTGTACACCATACTTCCTTCATTCTTCTAACCTCTTTGAGCGTTTGTTTTGAGAATTTGAGGAAAGAGAACTTTTTGTAATGTAGTAATTTTGACTTCATTAGCTTTGAAATTGAGAAGAAAATATATTTAAGTATTGCTTACCGCTTTCTCAACCAAACTGTCTAACTGTACGCTTCTTTTATATTTTTAGCTTTCTTCTTATTTTTTATTTATTAATGAGATTTTTTATTTAAACCCCGTACTTTTCTTTGTTCACCCCAATATTTAAATCATTAAGCTGTAAATTTTATTATTGTATAAAAATACCAAAAAGAGTCATCCAACTTAATACTTAACCCTAGTATTAACACACCCCACACACCCTACCACTCTTCATATTAAATTTTAGAAAAATACACATGCCACCAATCCCATGTCGACTGTACACCATACTTGATTGATAGCCCAACCTACCGATCCGCAATCTCGTGGAACCAAAAGGGGATTCGAACCGCCTCTTGTCGTGCCGATTTCAAGACATGTAGCTCCACTACAGAGCTTGCTTATAAGATTATCCTAAACTCCATGCTTAGCTAACTTAAGCATCGAAGTACATGACCACAATTGCCGCATATAAGGGTACTCCTATTTCTAAAACTGTTGCATTCTACATAAAAAAGGTAATCAATTCATATATTTTCCTTCGCAATTTTAAACTTCTTGGACTTGATTGTATATATATTTTTTTTTTTTTTCACACGACCACAACCGCCAAAATTTAAATGACGAACATCAAAGTGAAAAATGAGTCAAACGACAATAACTAAAGATATGATTTCGCCATCTTTCTTTGTTATTGTCGCTTTTCCCTTGATATATTTTATTTTACTGCTTTACTCCTTTCAAATGAAATGTTTTAGTCGGCATCTTAAGTGTGTGCGTTTCAAAATCATATAGAAGATATGGATTGGCCATAGCAATTTCAAGTTTTCTTCTTCCTCTATTTTTTTTATTTTTTTTTGGGGGGCGGTGGGGAGGGGTTGGGAAGGAACTCTGGGGAATTGCAAAAGCCAACAAACCTCTATAAATGCATCTCCATTCCTCTCTCTCCCTCTCTCTCCCCAACACCCAAAAATTATATTTCACATAATTTGACACTAAAATTACATTTTGCGAAGTAGCAAACAAATCCCCTACAGCTTCAGAAGTAATTTTATCAACTCCACTTTAGCACGAGACAAAATATCCCCAGGGTGGTGAGACGAAATTCCCTTCCCTAATTATGACCCAGCTTACGCTTCTTTAATAATCTATTCCTTTTGGCCATCTGTTCCCTCCTGTCTTCTTCTTCTATCAATCTAGCCTGCTCTTCGTCCTCCTGCCTTGCGATTCTTGCACTGCAACATGACGAAAATAGACGTTTTGGATCAGTGGAAGACAATGTGAAGCAGCCCCATGAAGGGGCTCCTCAAATAAGCAAATACCTCAATGGAATCTCAGTCATACCCCAAAATGGGTAACATTGGACATAATAATACAATAACATGATATTAAGCGGGACAAGCTGGCTGCTTACCTCTGTTTTTCCTCTCTCATAATATCCTCAAAGTTGGCCTCCATGTCACTACAATCATCATCGCCGGCAAACTTGTCTGGATTATATCTGCAGACATTTCATATAGATGTTTAGAAATATTTATAAAATGCAATAAGGTAAAATTCCTTAACCACAACACAAGACAACTTTTTAATCTCTCAATATGGCCAATTGATCTTCACAAAATCAGTCCATAAGAAATTCCAAACATGTCACTGAGATACAATACCTTCAAGAGCGCGCGCGCGCATATGTGTGTGTGTGTGAGGATCTCGCATTCAGCAGATTTATCGAATATTTCACCAAAAATGAATTTTGAAATCAACTTCGGAAACTATTTCAAAGTTAACAGAGGATGAAAGCTAATAACAAAATTACTCACTTAAACATATTCCTGATCATACTCCTATAATCCACCCCGTCATCATACTCATCATCAGGGTGCCGTCTCAAAGGCTTTCTTTTGGGACGATGCTCTTGTGACATAGGACGTGAGGAGATTTGCCTTTGCATTTGAGGCTTGTTTATCTGCCAAAATCCATGAATTAGAGAAGTAGGTCTCCAAAAAACTGATCATGCAAAGTAAAGCATATACGTAGGCATATGATGGGCTTTAAACCTGAGGTTTTGTCAATCCTGCTGACTGTCTCGGTAACACTTTGGGCTCATTAGGTTCTCGTACTTCCTTTCTTTGTTGCAAGTGCTGCTTTGGAATAGATGACTGCAACTTTGAAGGGAGTGATTTGTGCACACCAGACAAGGAATTCTTCACACCTGGTGCAGAAGCCTTCCTCTCAGCGGTAGAAGCAGGCATCTTTGAACCTTTTGGCCCTAAAGGCCGGCTGGGCCCATTTCCATTGTTGCTACCAAGCTGTTTTCTAGAGTCCACTGATGTAGAATCAGGTCTTCTGCTGGCAGAACTTAACTTATTGGGCCCCCCTTTAGAATGCATCTGTCCGTTCATAGATACCGGTCTCCTTTCATCACGACCTCCATGAGCATGTCCATTCATAGATACCGGTCTCCTTTCATCGCGACCTCCATTAGAATGTCCATTCATAGATACCAGTCTCCTTTCATCGCGACCTCCATGAGAATGTCCATTCAAAGATGCTGGTTTTCTTTCATCACGACCTCCATGAGCATGTCTACCATTATTTGCCACAGGTAGTTTGCTTTTCGGTGCCATTTGACTAGACCGCACCTCTTTAAAATCAGCAAAAAACCTGTATAAGTTCCTCAATGAAAATAGAATGTTTAAAGCCCCATAGATAAAGAGCCAGATAAGAAGTAGCAGATAGCAACACACCAGAATTTGGAACAGAGACACTTCGAGGAGGACGATCGTTTGCAGGAGCTGGAAGCTCCACATCGTCAGATAATAAAAAGGAGTAATCTCGTGTATCCTTAAGCTTTTGGACTTTATTTTTAGCCTGCATATTCCACAAATGCCATTAAGAGATAATAAGACAACTAGAAGACTAATTCAGACTTTAAGCGCTGACTAAAAACAATTTGCTCCAAATACCTCATTAATTACTCTGGGTTTCTGGTTATATGCTACATGTTTCGATCCAGCAGAGGTTGATCCAGAGCTCTTCTTGTTCTGTAGAAACAAATGAGATCATCAAAATAAAATTTATGCCCCATGACACAGCAATTCACAAGGCCAAAACTACATTACATAATCAATTTGTGATCAGGACAGCATAACTGCCCATTATATGGTAAACTAAAACCATGAAGAAGCATGTTCATGGCTAGAGAAAAAGATCGAATGTGAGAAAGTAATGTAATAAGCTATACCAAAAGAGAGAGTTATTATACATACAGAATGGGGGGAGCTCGAAACCCTAGATGCCAGATGCTGGGTTTCTAATAGCGACTTGCTTTCTTGTATCACTCTCTCAGAGATAATCGGTTGAGATGGGCCAAAGAAAGATCCATAACTGCAGAAGCAGAGAAACAAATTTTCAAACAATTTTATAACTACACCTTACCACTCTGATGTCCACATGAAAAATATGAAATAAATCACATCTGTGAGATAACCCCATCACTGAAGAAGAAAACATGGCACTGACAAATCATGGCTCAATTTGGTGTCAGTGTAAGCTCTCAAAACATTTCATGAGAAGATACAAGCTGGTAATGAACTTAAAAACACATGACTATCTCAAACTCATGAGAGTTCCAGGAGTAAAACGAAATTGGAAGGAAGTGAAACACTTTGGAATATTTTTCCCATTGTGTCTACTCAATTACTTTCAAGGTGGTGGTGATATCCCTGGGAGAAAAATTAGCCTGTCCCGGAAATTGTAACTACAAAACGTGTATCACTCTATCATAACAGGTCCCAGTACACAGTAAATACCATGTAGGCAATCAACAAATTAAGCAACTATTTGGTTGCATCAGTTGCTTGCCTCCCTCAAGTTTCAGATGACAATGCCAAATATTGTTCATCAAACAGTCATACAGGTACCTTAAAACAGTGTCACCATTGTCCTCACAATAATGACAATATATTCAACAAAAGAAACAGCAATGAGTTATAACCCTCTAAAGGAGCATTGAAACTAGTACTAGCAGTGAACAGAACCACCTTCGTTGTGGTTCTAAGGAAGTATGTGTTCTTTCACATATAAAACTGGCGGTTATAAAGTAGTCACTCACTTATCATAGGGGAGCTTCTTCTTTTTATCACTGGAGTTGGCCAAAGAAGAACCCCCTTCCTTCTTCATCTGCTTTCGAAATTGTTCTTTCAACCGTTGTCTCAACTCAAGGTATTCCAATGCTTCCTTGGTAGGCTTTGGATCTTCTTCTTCCGCTTCCTCTTCATACTCTTCGCCATCCTCCTCTTCCTCATATCCCTCCCCTTCGTCCTCATAATCATCATATTCTTCGACTGATTGACCATATTCCTATACCAAAACAACCACCAGAAATGGTCAAACTAATTCTTTTCTAGAAAAAAAAAAAAAATAGAGCATCAATGTCAATAATTAACATATAGATAATACAGAGATAGAAGTAGACTGAAAATTTGCTTACATCTCTATCGTATCCACGCATTTCTATTTCGAAATGAACAATTACGAATACTGGTTACCTGAAAATCACAAAAAGCCCAAATCTTTATTACGCTGGACTTTAAAATCCGCGAAAAAATCTGTAATTTCGGTCCAATCAAACAAAAACCCTATAGGCTCTGTTTGGTTCCATGGATTTGGCATTGCAACTGAACCCTAATTTTGACATTGGCCAATTCAATGCCTAATCCACAGTTCGGATGCTCAAATATCATGCTGATACTATGAAATTAAAATTCCAAATTTCTTTTAGCTGATAACCAGAACCAAACTACTTACCAGAAGTCCTTACAACCGCAACGCCGATCGCAGAGGCCTCTCAAAGTGAAGATAATCGCTGGGAAGCCCCAAATGGTACAATTCCGAATCCTCTCTCTGCAAGCCCTAATAATCGAAATCCACGTTCTATGGAGGAAAATGAATATGATGCGATGCGATCAGAATTCTCGAGAGAGAGAGAGAATCTGCAAGCCCTAACTGTAAAGCTTTGGGGTTGGGGGTTCGACCGGTTCCTGTAAAACGAAGAGTTCCATTATTGTAATATAAAATTTAAATATGATTTCATCAATAAATAAGTAAATATATCTTTCCAATTTTTTTATTTTAGAATTTAGATCTAGTTCCTTCCAAAAGGTTATTTTTTTATTTTTTTATTTTTTTATTTTTTTATTGGTGAGAAAAAGGTTTTTTTTTTTGGTGAAAAAGGTTATTCAATTACACTATTTTGTCCTTTTTTTTTTCCTTTGTTTCCTTATCTATTGTAGAGAAAACACTTTCAACCCTCTTCCCCTTCGCAAGCCTGTAATATAGTTAAAAACACTTTAGGAATCAAATTAAAAGAAAAGGAAAAACAAACACCTAACTCAAACACTTGAAGAATCATCTAAATCAAAAAAAAATTAAACAAAATAAAAAAAAAATACAAACCCCATGTGACAATTAAACTCACCCCTCGACCTATTTACCTTTTTCTTCATTTGGTTTAATATTAAAGCTAAAACATAAAACACATAAGGATTAAAAAATATATATTAATTTTAAAAAAAAATGTTTTCATAATTATAAAATAAGATAATTAACACACGTGAGCACGTGCCAAAAAACTAATATACAATGAAGTTACTAAAATGTCAATATGGTTTTTACCTTCTTTTTAATACATTTTGATTATCTAACTCTTCATTAGTAGAATTTTGCTTTTGACACGACTATATAGCCGTCTTTTTTAACCACATCAACTACAAACTCTTTACTCTACATAGTTGACTTGGTTCATACTAGCATGTAAGTTAGCATACATTGAATTAAAATTAGGGAGATTCACTATTATACCAAATATAGAGGCTCAAATTATGAAAAAACCCTATATGAAATGGACTTTAAAAACACACTCAAAGTCCATTTACGACATAACAAATAGGCTTTTAACTTCTTTTAAATTACAAAACTGCCATCAGTTTCTTAAAACAAGCCCAACCCCAAAACCTCATAAAAATACCCAAAACACTCAATAGGACATCAAAGTAATTTAATAATTAAAATTAAATTTAATAAGACTAGCTGTCATTTTTTGTGTTTGTTTATAAAAATTAAATGGTATAGGGTTTACCTATATTAACCTTCTTTTTAATACATTTTGATTATCTAACTCTTCATTAGTAGAATTTTGCTTTTGACACGACTATATAGCCGTCTTTTTTAACCACATCAACTACAAACTCTTTATTCTACATAGTTGACTTGGTTCATATTAGCATGTAAGTTAGCATACATTGAATTAAAATTAAGGAGATTCACTATTATACCAAATATAGAGGCTCAAATTATGAAAAAACCCTATATGAAATAGACTTTAGAAACACACCCAAAGCCCATTTACAACATAACAAAGAGGCTTTTAACTTCTTTTAAATTACAAAACTGCCATCAATTTTTTAAAATAAGCTCAACCTCAAAACCTCATAAAAATACACAAAACACTCAATAGGACATCAAAGTAATTTAATAATTAAAATTAAATTCAATAAGACTAGCTGTCATTTTTTGTGTTTGTTTATAAAAATTAAATGGTATAGGGTTTACCTATATTATTAATGCTAAGAATGGGTATATATGACTAAATATCTCTTAAAATTATGCAATTTCAAAACTGAAACTTTTTAAATTAAATTGAAAGGGATGAAACCCTTATTAATTCAAGATTCAAATTCAACATAAGATCAATAAAAAAGAAAAGGAAAAGAAAATATCCGGACAATTCCTTATCTACTTTTCTCAGAAACCCACCCCGCATCTAGGCCCAACTATAGGTAGCCCTAACTGAGCCCAAATGCAAAAAATAAAAACTCTTCAAAAAATTCATGTTCTCCTTACTTCTTCAGTTCTCCAATTTATTCTTCGGTTCCCTGTAGGTCTCTACTTCTTCCTTCTTCGCTTGTTCTTATTTTTCCAGTTCTTCGCTATGTTGAATTCTGAAATAGAAGACCAAGTTTTCAACTTGTTCGAGGATTTCATGGCCAGGTAGTCTCTACCTCTGTGAGTGTGTTTTGAGCTTTACTAGCATAAATTCACTTGCTATGAACATGGTGGTGTTTTGTACTTTTTTTTTCATCTGGGTAATCTCTTTAACTTCATCGTTGTGACAGGGTGGCCAAGTTTGATGATTTAGTGAATCTGGGAAGCATATTACTCACTGGCTTTCAGCAGGGGCTGGGTAAGTGTTCCGGGTTATGTTTTATAGGTTGTTATCTGCACTAAATTACAATTATTTCCCATGTTCCTCAGTAACATTCTTCTTTTCTAGAGTTTATGAGGCGGGCTCCGGTAGAGAAGACATCTGAGTTGGTTAAAAACATAATCCGAGCTAATGAAACACAGAGAGTTAAGTCATATATTGAAGCTGGATGCATCAACAGTGACGATGGCATGCAAAATATGAACAAGTGTAGGTGCAATTGCTTTCTGTCTTTGGATTCTTGGTTAGATGATTTAGGCCCTCTCAGGCCCATATCACCCTTATTATCCACTAAGTTGTATGATTTTAGAAATTTATACCGAGTTCTATTTTAAAGCTGTGATCTTTATAAAATTTACTTGAAATAATTGGAATGAGTTATAATCTTTTCTTTCTCTTCATTTGATAGTTTTTTGGCCATCTGTTACAGGTCACCGTTTGTACTTTTGCTCCCTTTTCCAACTGTAGTGTCATTCTGTAATGATTTCTTTTGGGGCACTTGTTTCCTATAGCTGTCTGATATTTGTATTGTTCGTAATATTGGGTATATCTGATGATTGCCTTGTTTTTGTTGCTCTTGGGACTGAATTTGCACGTATTATTCTCTCTTTTCTCCTTTCCTTCGTTTTCTGATATTTTACTGTTCTGAACGTGATGTATTTTTTATACATGGGGAATTTTGCGTATAGAAGTGCAGACATGCCAACTTGGACTTCATGACCATTTAAGCAAAGGTAACATCTCTTTTCAAAGTTATAATTATTTGTTTCTTCAATCATATTTGACAAAGTAATCTTGTCAAAATGGCAAGTGAAGTGGTGATGCCTTTACTTCGATAAGCTACTTAATCTGTTTGTATTATTAGTTATTTCTTATCTGGTGTGTTTGATAGTTGTTGCAATGCTGATACTTTGTTTATGTAACACTTCATGTACTTCTGAGATTTAATTTAAACATGTAATGGGTGTTGCAGGCAAAAGCATACTTAATGAACTTGAATGCCTTGTGGAGGATGTAATTGGTGCAATGGAAAATTTGTCCCCTTTCCAGGATGACAGTTTTGCTGACAGGTTGAATGAAGAAGCAAGTACTGATGACAAGGTAGTCTTCTTTCCTCTTTTTTCTTCATTTTTGTTTGGTCCTTCCCCCCTCACACCCCCTGAGTTCGGTAGTTATTGTACCCATATAAGTACAGACACAATCACACTTGTATCTATGATTAGCTCTAATTTGAATATAAGTTAATCGGATAAAATGCTTGGATTTGATTAAAGTTTAGTTGAAACATGAATGTCTCTCTGTAGCTGCAGAGTTTAGGGAGTTGTCCTTTTTTTGTTTATTATTTTATCAGATTGGAAAGTGGTTATTTTAAATTTTCGGCAATCTTTACTGCTATTGAGCTGCTGTTATGTGGTATCTCTCGTAGTCTAGAGATTATTTTTTAGGTTTCTTCTATAGTTTTGTTTTAGAAGTGGACTCCTTATTCACTAATTTTGAACTTTTTTGTTTCTAATTGGTGAAAGTTTTGTTCCCCATAAAAAAAAATTGAGACGTGCATGGTTCCACCCCAATATATGACCAGTTTGGCATCATATCTCTTTATATGGTGCATTATATTGGTAACCTCAGAGTGTATGTACATCCCTACAAGCTGCTTGGCTGCATGACGAGCCTGCCTGTTGAAAATCTCCTTGCCCTGGTATAATCACCAGAATTTTGGCCAAAGTATGGTCAGCCATCATTCAAACGTCTTCAATAACTACAAAAATCATTAGTACTTTATGTCCATTTATCATATACTTTGCATCCAGAATAATTGTCATCCTTTCTTTATAGTTTTTCTTGAAACGCTTTCCTATCCCAATGTCCTTTCATTTTATGATCAAGTTTGAAGTGTTTGTAAAATATGAAAAAGAGATTAGATTAGAAGTTGTGAATGCAATATTTCTGTCTCCTTAAAATGTTGATGATTAAGAAAGAGGCAAAATTATTTGGGATAGAGGGAGTTATATATTTTCAATTCTAAGATGTTTGGCTGAACTTAGTAGTTCATAATTAGTTCAAAATTGTATATTTCTCCGAAAATTTCTTACACCAATTCTTAATTCTGATTTCTTGTGGTTGATGATAATATTTAAAACCCCAGACTACTGACACCTAACTTCTTCATAGGAGGAAATTACTTCATCCCATCCCAAAAGAAATAAAGTTACCGATTATGCTCATTGTATGGGGATCATTTACATTATGGTCAAGCAAGACTACATGATGCAGGTATTAAAGCTTTCTGGCTCGTTTCCTATCATTTTGAACACTTTGGTGTAAACTTTAGAAAATCCTATGTCAAAACGTGTTGCAGGAAAGGGTTGTTTCTGCTCTGAATGCCAAGTCATCTTCAGGAGAGTTAGAGAGCTACTGCCTGATGTGGTCTTTGCGCCCCTTCATAAAGAGCGAAGTTATGGATCATGCTTGGAAACTTATTCTCTGAAGTGTCAATGTTTGTTTACTGTTAGATTGGCAATTTAAATTAAACTAATGGTCATAAGACAATTCAATTGACGACATAATTGTTGGTTGTTTGTCTGAGTATTTTAGTCCATCTTATGATTTATTTATTTTCGAAAAACCATGTCACGATTGATTATCAGCAGTGGTAATTGACATCTATGAAATTTGACACAATTTTTTTTTTTTTTAATAAATAAACTCAAACTTCCATTAGATGGAATAACTAGAATAATTATTTACAAGGTCAATGTAAGTACAATCCATTAACCATTTGACAAAATTGGGTGCTATTCTTAAATCTCTGTACAGTCTCAGCAGTGGGGACCAGCTGCAAGCATCTCCTCAGTCAGCTTGTTGTCCTCACCAATCTGGTAATTTGTGAAGGTCTCAAAGTTGTTCTTGAACAGGCCTGCTAGCTTCATCAGTGTCTCATTGTATGCATTCTTGTCTGACCACTGCAACGCGAAAATTAAAATCACAAACCAAATCACATTAGAAAGGCTGAGAAAAAGAAAAACTAAGCAGATAGATATAGTACAGAGAAAGAGACGAAGAGAAAGCCCGACTTACAGTGTTCACAGGATCAAGTATTTCTGAGGGCACACCCTCAACCTCACTAGGAATCTCAAGTCCAAACACTTTAGTCTTCTTATACTCTGTCTTCAAGAGGCTGCCGGAGTGGATGGCATCAATGATTTTCCTTGTGTAGGCTAGCTTGATGCGGCTTCCGGATCCATAGCTGCAAGAGAGAAACATAATTTGGTTCAGATTTTCTTGCAAAATAAAAAAATGGATAAACGTTTTTAGGGTTCTAATGTTATGAACTTATGATGATGTTTTGAATTTTCATACCTTCCACCAGACCAGCCAGTGTTCACCAGCCATCCGGTTGCTCCATGCATCTGCATCTTCTCAGCCAACATTGCTGCATACTTGGTAGGATGCAGCATTAGAAATGCTGCACCAAAGCAGGCTGAGAATGTTGCCGTTGGCTCCTTGATACCGTCTTCAGTTCCGGCAACCTGAACATTTTCAATGGTGGGTTCAGTCAAAGATGTAAGACAAGCTCAATATTTTGATTTGCTAACCAATTCATAAGCAGATGGGAAAGTACTCTTCTATTTCTCATCCCGTGTGAAAAAACATGGAAAATGATTTCCTATCAAGTCCTTACTTTCCCATCTAATCCTTTATGGGATCCAAACGGGATCTAATAGTTGAATATTTACCAGGGCAGTGTAGCCACTGATGAAATGGTACATGGTCTGTGCCAGGTTCAGCTTGCTCACGGGTGGGAGCACACCAAATGCATCACATGCCAGAAGAATGACATTCTTAGGGTGGGGGCCAACACATGGGATCAGTGCGTTGGGGATGAATTCGATGGGGTAGGCTGCACGAGTGTTCTCTGCAACCACAACCAAAAATAATAATTTGCTTGAGTGAAGTTAGCATTATAAGTTTATAAGTTTATCTTTTCTCTGTTTTCTTCTTCCCTCTGATATTTACCTGTAACAGATTTGTCTGCATAGTTCACCAGTCGGGTATGATCATCGAACGCAACATTTTCCAGCACTGCCAATAAGGATCAAATCAAATTCAATCATTTTTGTAGTGGCATTGGTTGGAAAAAAAATATATTGATTGAAAAATCACAAGAAATGGAAATGATATATTACCAGCGCCAAACTTAATGGCGTTCCAAATGTCAGGCTCCTTCTCCCTGGAGAGGTCAATGCACTTGGCATAGCAACCACCTTCGATGTTCGAAACACCTTTGTCGCTCCAGCAGTGCTCATCATCTCCGATCAAGTACCTGTTGTGATCAGTGGAAAGGGTTGTCTTTCCGGTACCTAATCATAAAAATGGAAAAAAATGCATTGATCAGAACCAAACTAGCCTCTCGGCACTCGCGCTCTATGATGATGAGTCGATAGTATTTACCTGACAATCCAAAGAAGAGGGCAACATCTCCACTTTTCCCCATATTGCAGCCAGAGTGGAGGGAGAGGATTTGGCGCTTGGGCATGAGATAATGCATGACACTGAAGAGGCCCTTCTTCATTTCTCCAGCATACATGGTTCCAAGAATGACCATCTCCTTCCTAGCAACATGGAGATCAACGCTAGTAGAGGATGTCATGTAGTGTGTGTAACGGTTGCAGGGGAACTTGCCAGCATTGTAGATAGTGAAGTCCGGAGTGCCGAAATTCTCCAGCTCTTCTTTAGTTGGTCGGATGCACCTGAGTGAACAGTTCAGAGGACGAAAATGCAAATCGGAGCATAATTCAGCCCAGTTCTTAATTATGTTATACTTACATGTTGTGCATGAACAGTGAGTGGTAAGCCCTAGCAGAGACAATCCTTACTTTGATTTTGTTTTCTGAATCCCAGTTCAGAAATTGGTCGTTCACAAAGACCTGTAAATCAAACATTCAAGACCATTATCATTATTATTATTATTATTATTCTATAGCCATAACTATATATGGAAATTTAATGAAATGAGATGAAAAAAATTACCTTGTCTAAACAATTTAAGTAATCTACAGCTCTTTCCCTGTTAATCATGAACGTGTGCTCGTCCATTTCGATGTTGGGGGAACCCCTACAGGTGAAAGACAATACCAACGTCAATAATCAAATATTGACATCATTTATTTCAGAAAAAATATATAAGTATAAAAATAATTGAAAATGGGGCACTTACTTTCCCCACCAAAGATCATCCTGAGTAGTAGCGTCCTTGACAACACGCTTATCTCTTGGAGACCGACCAGTCTTGGCTCCCGACTGAGTTGCTAATGCGCCGGTCGACGTGATGAACGACCCCTTCTCGTACTTGAGAGCATGCTCATAAAGCTCTGCGCCACATACAATCCATACTTCAAATCCCCCATGCTTTTTATTTTTTGCCAAAAAACATATCCAAAGTTCCAACAAACAATGATGCAACATGTTCAGTATTATGGGTTTTGCTAAGGTCAGTGGTCTACGTGCAGATCATTGATCGAATATGTGTCCCACGATTACCAACGATTAGACATTATAGGTGACTGACCATAGCACAGCTCTTAGTATTACTACAGACAGAAGAATAGGTTTTACCGGCAGGAGTGAGGTTGTAGAGGACGTTGGTGAACTTTAAGGCGCTGTCACTGACGCAAATAGTGGGGGTGAAATGTGACACTTTATCAACATCGTTCTGGTCATGCTTCTTAGCCTGAACGACCTTAATTTGATCCATTTTATCTAGTCAGTATTTGAAGCCAAAACTAATATATAAAAACAAAACAAAAAACAAAAAATTAATAAAAATGAACCAACCTCGGGTGTCTGATTCTGTGGTTGGGTCTCAGTCTCACCGAAAGCCATTTTCTTGGTGGGTATCTGAAGTAATTAAAATGAAGAGCACAAAGAGCAGCAAAAGATAGTTTTTGGTTTGACAGGGGATGAAGCGTATGGGGGTTCAATCTCCTTTTTTTTCTTTTTTTTTTTATTCGAGAGATTGAACTTACAATTAATTAAGCTGGGAAATTTGTGTGTATTGTCTTTCACCTTTTATTGTGGCTCATGCATGCCAAATTATGGTCAAGATTAAATTGAGGTAAAAATGAAATGGATAAAATATGTGGAGAAGGTGAATTGCATGGTGTCTTGAATGACACGTGAAGAGAGTTCCATTGCTTTTGGATCATGGCACCCCAAATTTAGTTTTCTAATAATAGCCTAAGATTAAACTCAATGCCAAATAATTGCTCTCACCTTCTTCTTCCTAAAATTCTTCTTTGATTTGTTCTTGGCCTCCCTCGCAGCTATACTACTTTTTTAATAAAAATTCTAAAAACCGAGTATAGCTGCCCTTAATACTATTAGAAAAAATCGTGTATAGCCGAGCGGCTATACTTTTTTAAAAAAAAAAATTAGAAAAACCACATATCGCCGCCCGGCTATACTATTTTTTATAGAAAAAACTTTAGTATAGCCGCGTGCCTATACTATTTAATAAAAATAAATATAAAAAAGGACTCTCCTAGTTGCTATAGTTTATACTTTATAGATATTAATTTGGTATAGCCGCGCGCAGCAAAATTTTGTCAAATTAAAACTTAAAAATTCGGCCATTATATAATATTTTAATATAATTTATTTAAATTTTTTAACATATATTATTTGTATTCAATAATATGTGATAATTATGTGTATAATACGTGAATTTTATTTGTATTATTGAAGATTTTTAAAAAAAATAGGTGTAGTAAAAAAAATTGGGAAAACCAGGTATCGGCTATACTAATTTTTTTTTTGGGCAAAAACCGAGTATGTCCGCGCGGCTACACTATTTCTTCAATAAAAATTCTAAAAACCGAGTATAGCCGACTGGCTATACTATTTCTTTTGGAAAATATTCTAAAAACCGAGTATAGCCGTCCGGCTATACTATTTCGTTAAAAATTGAAAAAATCGTGTATACCCTGGCGGCTATACTATTTATTTTATAAAAGATTGGAAAAAAACCGCGTATAGCCGTACGTATAGCCGTACGGCTATACTATTTCTTTTTCAAAAAATTGGAAAAAATCGGGTATAGCCGCACGGCGATACTATTTCTTTTAAAAAAATTGGAAAACCCAGGTATCGCCTCTCGGCTATACTATATATTTTTTTTTAAATAGAAAAATTCAAGTATTTCTTTTTTAAAAATTTAAAAAACCAGTATAGCCGTGCAGCAATACTGATTTTAAAAAATATAGCCATGCGCCTATACTATTTAATAACAAAAAAAAAAATTATAAAAAAGGATTCTCCTCGTTGCATTAGTTTATACTTTATAGATATTAATTTGGTGTAGCCGTGCGGATATACGAATAAAATCCGTAAATGTTTTATTGGACAAAATTTTGTCAAATTACAAGTTGAAAGTTCAGCCACTATATAATATTTTAATATAATTTATTTAAAGTTTATAATACATATTATTTGTATTAAATAATATGTGATAATTATGTGTATAATACGTGAATATTGTGTGTATTATTGAAGATTTTGTTAAAAATTGGTGTATTAAAAAAATTGGAAAAAACCATGTATAGCCGTGCGATTATACTATTTCTTTTA